CACGTGATCTAATGCTGCAGTTACAGTATTCATACCGGAGCAGCATATCTCTCCTCTCTACAACGGCCGTATTAGACACCCTGCAAGTCCGTTTTATCATTGACCTTAATAAATTTAATCATTGTTTTCTGAAGAAAGTATTGTCAATTCCTCCTTATTCAATAAAAATCGTGACCACTTAAAAAACCCCACAAAATTGATCTAAATTTCTTTTCCGTTCGGAATCTACCTAAGCACCAAATAAACTTGATTTGTCTAGAATCATCCTCCTTTGGCTAGAATATATATATTATTATTATCATTGTATAAATTCTTTTCATTACGTGGTAACACCGCATAAGGATCGTTTCATTGATTCGACTTCATGCTCCATGCCTTGAAGGCATACTGCATGAAACTACAATTGTTTACATGATTTTACGTACGTATATATATGCATATATTCGCAGGGCAGAAATTTAAAGAAAAACACGAAGTTTTTTTGTTTTGTTTTCTGTCTCATAAAAAGTCGCTATTTTAGTAATGGTATTTTTAACATGGAGGAAATGATATAATTAAAATGATTTCCGCAGTTTAAGTGCCGCTATATACCACTATAGGAATCGATATAAGTAATAATACCGTTTTAATAGTACCAAAAGGTAATGAGAACGTGGGGATGGATTAATTACGGCCATGGCAGAATCAATACAGGTTTTTAAATCAGCAAATCTAATCACTTTACGAAAATCAAAATGCGCAGTAATTAGCCAGAAGTGGATAAGTATCTATGATTATTAACAGGTGAATGGATACGGTGGAGGATTAAGATAGGAGTAAAATTAAGATTAAGGAGAGTGGTGAAGATATTGGAGTACTTGTACGAGTGGAATGTTATGTTGGGCCATTATACCCCCAAATTCCGTCATATTCTTCAACGGCTTTGTAGATAGCTTAATCAGTGGATTCCGAAGAATCAGTGTTTGAACAACTTTTAAATGCTAGGAATAAATGTTCTAAACTGATCACCACTTCCGATAGAACGAAAGAGTTTTCTAATTCGAAAACAATAGTTCATAATTTAAAAAAAATATTCAACTTAAAACTACTTAAGAACTTATTTATATGTTACTACTAAAAACCAGGAATTGAAACTTAAAAAAAAAAGTTTGCCAATTAAAGTCAGTATAGTTTCCTTACCGTTTTCATTGGCTCTATATTTCAAGGTCTTTAATTTTTCATACGAAAATAAAATCTCCGCCAGAATCCGTTTTCGGAAATACAGTAATCCCTCAACATTCGCGTGTTTGATATCCACGATTTTTTTTTTATCAGCGAATATTAAAATGCGGAAAAGTTCCACATTTCCAAATCCAGTATTTGATGATTCGTGATTTTTAAAAAAATCCCAGCACATAGTAAACATTCATATCGCTACTGTGATAGTGCAAAAGATCGTATGTGAAAATTTATTATTTTACTGTAGAACATAAAAACTAATTATTTCTTTATGTTATATACTTATAAATATATACTTATAAATTATACTAGTATAATTTCATATTTTATTGCCCTCCGCTATTTTCCATAGTAGTAAACTACCTATATCAGTTGCAGACTACAAAATTTCACCTTTAGCAAAAATTGATAAATTATACATACGACTTTTAGCATTAACATTAGCGGTATATACTTCATAGATATGCTTTCACTCGTAAAACGGATGGATCCAAAAATCCATTGGAAAAATTTCAACTTTTTGTTTGTTCGGAGTGAACGAGACCGATATTTTACTTTGTCAGTCACAACAAAACTAACTTAAGCTGGAAGACAAAAATATGAATGAAGTTCACACAACTTTGATGATTAAGGAGAAAATCGAGACCACGAAGAGCTGGTTGAACTTCAATAAAAATAAATAGAATCACAAGTAAGGAATTTTTTTCAAACTCGGAGGAAAAATTAATTTAAATTTACTGAAAATTACACGAAATCGAAGTAATGCCAGTAACGTTTGGAATCGACCAAACAGAAAAGAATAAATTAAGTTTTTGAATAAAATCTTATTAAATGTTATAACCTCATAAAAATATTGTATTGACCTAATCCCCATTCCACATTCCACAGTTATTTATATAAATTTTAATTATTAAAAGGAATTCAATGAAATTCATGTTATGCAATTTCTATACTATTCTCCAAATTTCCTCCAAGCCTGAGTCAAATTGAACGAGCCGTTTTCAGATTACAGCCGTGTCAAATAATAAATTTACTGATCCGAAAGCAGAAGTTTTTTTTTTTTTAGAGTAGTGGATAGAATTTGATAAAATCGATATTCACTTAATTATCTGTTAACCAATCCCTAACTTCCCTCCAGATTTGAGCCAAATCGAACATGTGGTTTTAGAGATATAGACGTATCAAGAAAAACACGTTTGTGCATATACAAGAAAAAGTAGTGGACAGAATTCAAGAAAATTGACATTACATTATTTTTCACCGATACCTACATTTTATTCAATTTTGAGCCACATCGAAGGAGTAGTTTCTGAAATATTGGCATGTATAAAAAATACGTTTGCGCCTGCGTAAGCGGAAGTACTGGGTGGAATGTGATAAAATTAATATGGATCCATCTAGAAACCAACCCGCATTAAACTTTCATGAAAATCGGATAGACAGTAGTAGGTGATATGCCGGTCACATCGAGTTGTCTACAGACAGACACCGAACCAAATTTGATCCTTGATGTCTGAAATGTAAAACGCAAGTGGAAATTTTCGATTCTGAGCACAAATTTTTTTTTAACCGAATACAATGCTTCCCTACCTTCGGTAGTGAGGAAACAAAAGTTCCATTTTAACAATTTCGATGAAACGTTTTAGGGAAAAGGTTCCATTTTAACAGTTCTTGTGAAACGTTTTAGAAAAAAAAATTTTTTAAATAAAATTTCTAAGGAATTGGTTTGTAATGAAATTTCAGGTTTATCTTAAGATTTAACTTGTATTTATTCAAGTTATTAATAAAAATTCCGTTAAATGAAAAATAAAAAGTACGTGGACTTATGTTAGAGTGATAATTTGTCTTACATTAATTACACATAATTCTAATTTGTCGTTTGAGTAGCTATGAATAAGTCTTTTTAGATCGAATTTTTAGAGAAATCGACAGAACTTTTAAATAAGACTTGTTTTTTTAGAATAAAAGTTCTTTAAAATCTTTATATGAAAAGTTTCTTGGGAAAACGTTCTAGTTCCAAAGCAACTGAAGAATTATCGACAATAAAAATCCAAAATAAACCGAAAATTTTTAATAATAAAAATTTTATTTTTCCCTTTCGTGCCCTGTAAACAATATCTTTTGTTGGATAATAACGAAAAAGTAAGAAAAAAAATATTTCTTAAAGGTTGGTATACGAACTTTTAAAATCATGATATTCAAAAAATAATCGAAACAGAGACTATTAATAATAAAATATAAAAAGTTGATTTATTTTCAGGAGTTCAAAAGAAAGTTACAAGCTAATAACCTCCAAATCGAACTGATGGGGTTATCAACCTAAATTTTATAATCACTGACATTTATAATAGTGATTTTTTCCTTTCACCGAATTTAAGCGAAAGTATAGGGATTGGCCGTGACGGACAAAATTGATGTGTTTTGAGGTCAAAATAAGTTATTTTTAGCAAACTCTTTGAATATAAATCAGAAGACGTAGTGAGGTAGGGCATAAACAAGATTGGCCAAAGGCCTTATTTTGGTATGGGAAAACAACGGCACCAAGAAGAGGGTGTCATGGCGTAAATTGTATCATACAATTTTTGAGGGGGCACATTTCGACGGCCTTACGAATTTTCGGAATGATTAGGTTCAAACAGGGAGACAAGGGGAAACATAGAACAGACAGCAGTGAGTGTAATTGTATAAATGGGACGGGGTGGACATCCTAACGCTTGTGCAAAACATGCGTTGCCCGGCAACCTGATAAACAAGAAAAGATGATAAAATAATTATGAGTTCACGCCCCGGTGCCGGGAAGCTTTTAACCCTGACATTAATTTTTCACCCTCTTCCCTGACCCGGAAAAAACACAAAAACAGCCTAACTAAAATGGCTGAAAAGATGAAAAAAATATTACCAGACCTCTCAAAATCCTCAATACCACAGGCGAATCAACGGCGGGAGGGAGGGGGAAGGAGGGAAAGTTTGTCAGGCTTAACCTCCTCCCCAAATGATAAAATGTAACCATGTTTTATAGAAATAATATTAAAAAATTATCTTTTAAAGTATTATTTTTCATGTAATCACATTTAATAAGACTTCAAGAGTTACTATAACACCATTCCATATAAGTAGTTAGTATTTTCCTTTTTTTTTCTAAAGTAATTATCATTATATATAATAATAATAATAATAATGCTTTAATTATTCTGGGATGAATCCCTTTAGAATAATACAGAGAGACAAAAATGTGGGCTAAGGAATATATGAAAATCTTTCGAGCTGAAGCCCCCCACCACCTTCCCTCCCCCAAAAAAAATTAAGTCCTGGTACCGCTAGTGCTCAATACTGTTATCTAGAGTTTTTGAAAAGGATTGTCCACATAATAGACTCTCAAATAAAATTTTGAAAATAAAAGACCATAATAAAATGTCATAAATTTAAATGTAAAATCTTTTAAAAGATTACAAATCGAAAGAAAATGCAATGCTTCCGTACCTTTGGAAGTAAGGAAGCAAAACAATTAAAACACAAAAATTTCATAGATTTATATTTATCCTTTAGGTTCAATAATTAAAATGATTGTTTAACAAATAAGAAATGTTTAAAAATTAACAGACTTCTGCTCAAACTAGAGTAAACAAATAAATTTCTTTTAGAAAACTTCAATGATAAATAAAATGTTGCTCTATCCAAATTAAAATTTTTAAGGTTAACTTTTTTTTTCAGCAATAGAGAACAAATTTATTGAAGAATGTAAAAAAAGAAATTCTTGCAATAGTTGTTTATTATTAAAACTATCATTCAACTGCTTCAATAGATAATTTCTATAATAACGAACAAATGTTTTAATTCTAACCAATTTTTTAAATAAATTATTTTCAATGATTAACTCCTAAATATAAATTTAATGATGTATATTATTAATATTCTTGACACACTTCATTGGGATGAACATAATTGATATTAAATTAACTAATTTGCATTAACATTTCCTTACCAGTTTTAAATATTCATTGTCTTTTTTTGACATAATCATGACAAGAGCTAATTAGTTGCTGATTGGTTTAGTGGATACTGAGGAACATTCAATTGTAGAATATGCTAAAGCACAAACTTTGAAATTAAATTTTTTATATCTATATTAATACTTTAATTTATTCATTAGTTGATACTATTATACTAAAGTATTAATTACATTTACTAGATACGATTTTTACACAAATGAAACACTCTAATTTGAAAATTTGGGTTTTGTTGTGTTTGAATTAGCTTTTTAAATTTCTTCTATAGGAAAAAAAAGATGAGGAAGGACCATTTTGAAGTCTTTGAAAAATCAATGAATCAGAAATCAATAAAAGATAACTAAAATAATTATTTTAAGAAATAAAAATTGTTTATTCAATTCTGTATATATATATATATATATATATATAATGTATTTTTAAAAAAATAGTCATTTCCTTATTTTGTTTTTAAAATATTTCATATATGTTTAGAAAAAAAATTATATTTGATTTCAATAAAACTCGTTCAAGCAAACTCAAAGGTTCGACGATGATGGAAATATATCAATAAACACAGTTTAAAAACAAAAACTTACTTTTGTGAGCACCTACAACAAATGCTGGGTGTTCATACAAGATATGTGATTCAATTAAATTGAAGACAACACAAATCAATTTTTGGGTAATTGCTAGTTCCAGATATAAAAAAAACCAGATGGTGCCAATACATAAATGTTTACCAATAAATTATAATTATAATTTAAAGTAAAAAACCCCTCGTACTGCAGCCCTTAAAATTGTTTCATGCCAATCACATCAACTATATGGGCATACACAAAAGTCTTCCATTACCTGATAAAGACATAGCAACTGGAACTGGACGAACTTGATATATTGTTGGAAGAAAGCATCATAAGAACTGTATTTGAACTATATAATTTAATCTCTAAGTACAACACCTATTTAAGTCAAAAGGACACAATAAAGGCCAGCCATATTTACATGATTTATTGTTTACAGTGATTTATGATTTATGTTTTCATAATATATCGCCAAAAAAAAAAATACAATTTTATTTGTAACTGTGCAGTTAAATAAAGACTCAAACTACTTTAGCAAAAATATTTAACATTCAACTATGTTCTCCTGAATGCTAAAAATATTTATTATAGATAAAAAAAAAAGTGACCAAAATTAAAAATCAATCAACAAAAAAGCAAAAATGAATTTAAATAAGATAAGGAATAACATTTAATTTTAAATTGGATTATTTAAACATAAAACCTTTTCTGATACTAAAAAAACTTAAAACAGGATATCATTCTTACAAATGGTAAATAAAACATTAACATTTGTATGTTTGATAAATTGTATCAATTAAATATATGTCTATGAATTTAATATCGCATCTTTGTATCAAAATTTTTTAAACTAACAATAATAGTCTCCTATAGCTATCATTGGAATTTACAGTAATTATGTTATATTTTTGCTAACTGTGAATGAAGTTAAAGAAGTGACGGCATTCATTATGCTAAAATAATGATGAAAAATTGAAGAAAAATTTAATATGAACAATAAATATTGATAGAAAATATTCTACACATGAGAAAAATAAAAAGGACTTACTGCTACTACGGTTCATGTGTTATTTGAAGTGTGCTAGAAAAAAGAATAAAATAATAAAAATTGACCTACCTGAGCAACATTCTCGAAGTGTTCATGACTCTTCTGGTAAACTCTTGCTTTCTGTAGGTTCCTGCCAACTCCAGTATTTTTCCGCAGAAAAACTTCACCATGGTTAGCTAACCAATCTAAAACCTGAAATTATAACAAAGTTTACAGTTATGACCAATCAAAATAATATAAGGTGCAACTTTAAAATTTCAGGAAATTGAATGGGGTAGGCAAACCGATTATAATATCAGTAGGGGAATTGTAAGTAAATAGTTCTTAGTCAGGTAGTGCACAGTGGTTAAAAAGTGGAAAAACCTATATTTTCACAATTAAAAAACATTAATAATAAAATAATAAAAGGCTTAGTGAACCTGAAGATTCAATACCGACACCACCAATCGGTTTTTACACACCTTCTCTCCCACCGTTCACCATTGAAACACACACTCCTAAGACTAGCCTTAAAACAATCCTCCCCACCTTCACTTCCCTCTACCCCTTGGACATTTACCAGTCAGCACAGCGCATATTAACCTTTTAGGAATTCTTTCATTACTAACCACAATAATTTTACATGACCATTTTATTCCTGACAATGTAATTACTTCAATTATATTAACCAAATACAGTTCACACAAGTTTTTTAAGCATTGTGTACCGTCTAAATTCTCTAGTTGACTCATCCTTCTTTGGTGAGAATACATACATTAATCTCCAAAAATATATAAATATAAAATGTAAAAAACGTTAATTAATATATTTTAAAAATTACAAAATAATTTTCAAATTAAAAAATTGTCATGAGGATGAACAAAGACAGAGAACCCAGAAAATATATTGAGGCAAAATCCATAGAAAAAAAAAACCCAGACGTCCTTTGAGAAAACTTGGATTGATGAAATAACCAAGCTGGGACAGAAAAGCAGCAAGCAGTTCTGTTCTATGTGGGTCCAGGCAAGGGAACGTGAAGACTCGCGTAAATGGATTGAGGCTCCTCCACACTGAAATGCACCAAGGAGGAAGACAAAGTAGAAGAAGAAGAAAGTAAAAAATTGTTGACATTGCTATCGATATTGCCGCTCTTTACATTATGTTGCTATTCTCTACATCTTTCGAACACACCTGACCTCAGGTCTAAAATCTATTTATTTTTATTAAAAAATGAACCCTATCAAAATAGTAAGATAGATAGCAGCTGTGTTCACCAGTGTCTGTTAGCAAAATTTGATTTTTTAAAATGAATTAATGTTGTCATTTTTCTATTTTTGAAGGAAAATTCATTTGAAATAAAAGGGCAAGTGGCAATTAACATATATACATGTATACATACATATATATATATATATATATATATATATATATATATATATATATATATATATATATATATATATATATATATTATATATATATATATATATATATAGAATACGTTTGTATTATATTTTTATTTTATCAGTTCAAACTATAGTAATAATTATTTTTTTAAATAAGAATTATATTTCAGGTTTGAAAAGAAATGAGTCAACCGGAGATTTTAGACTGTTACACAACGCCAAACTGCGTAAACTATATCCGGTCAATATAATTTAATTAATTACATTGTCATGAATAAATCAGGCATAAAATTGTTGGGCTTAGGAGAAAAAAAAATTCTTAAAAGATGAATATGCACTGTGCCGACAGGTAAACGCCCGAGGGGTAGATCTAAGTGAAGGTGGGTGGATTACGTTAAGGTTCTCTGGTGGGGCTGGATTTAGGAACGGTGGAAGGAAGTATGTAGACAGCGATTGGTCGTGTCGGCATAAAATCTTCAGGTTCATTAAGCCTTTTATTACTATTTTATTTCAGATTTTGGATTAAAAAACTAGAAACTCCATCGCAATATATTATTATGTAAGACATAATTCAGTTTTATATTATATATTTTATTTAACATTTCAGCCTTTAGAAATAATGATGATAAAAAATAAAAAGAACAACTTGTGCACATTCATGTATTTCTATACTAAAAACTACAAATTTCATCTTATTCAGAAACTAAATATGAAAGAAATATTTAAATCAAATTAAACTAATCAATCCTCCACCTTTCCACATTACAACATAGATCTTATTTTAAATGACTGAAAATAGCTGGAACTGTTTATTTTCACCATTTTAAGTTATTTTATGACAGCCACGCTAAATCATCTTTTTCCTCACTATATAAATGGTCTATCACTGAGTATCCAATATATTTTATTTATTCTATAAAAGTCAAAAACAATTTATTTTTTTCATTCCGCAACATACATATCACAATCAATAAGTAAATAAAACTTGTACCACTACAACTCATGAAAGGTCTTGGGGTTCAGTACTCTCTAAGGAAGTACTGTATTGCACAACCATTGTGCAAGAGCTGTTGACCAAGATCACACTTATCTGCCAGGTTTTTCTCCTTAATCAATTATTTAATTAAAGGTACCCACTTTAAAGAGGCTAAGCATGCCCCAGGAGAGTTTCCTGGCTCCAGGGATCCATTTGCCAACGAGACCACCAGGAGGGTCTACCTACTCAGGATCGGCCCACAGCCAATGAAATAGAATAAATAACATTTCTGCCAAGAGCCAGGATTTGAACCTGGGACCTTTAGCATTGGAAGCTCAGTACCCTACCACTGAGCTACCCTACTCCACTGATATTGAAAGAAAAAAAAAAATTGAAATCTCTATATTGAATACACATGAATAATTTAAGTATTTTACCTGCTTCACATCCTCTTGGAAAAGTCGGAGAGCAAGCCTTTGATGGAGTTTAATTTTTTTAGTAAGCCATCGATGTTCTAGTGATCGATGATGGTTAAGGATCTGGTGTATCACAGCTAAAACATGGGAGGCTCCTTCAGAGTAGTCAGCTGCAGGGTTGGGCCCTCTACTGCTAGCAGAGGAGTCTGACCCTCCCCCGTCCTGTTATCGCAGACGTCATGAATAAGTAACCAAATTCACATAACTGAGTAAAATATCAGATAATAATGTAAATACTATATTGTTATTAAATGACTTTGTTGCATTCATAAAACTTACCATTGAAGTAAGAAAATAAATTAATTAAGAATAGACTATAAAAGTAAACTCTAAAAGTATTTTCTAAACTAAATAAAAATTCACAAATACAATACAATACATAGATAGGCATAAAAAGTGAAGTAAAAATACAATATACATTGCAATTTTTAAAATAAACAGTAATTTGAATTCAAACATAACAAATCATAGAAGTTAAGGCTATGTAAATAGAATATTAAAAAAAAAAAAAAAAAAAAAAAAAAAAAAAAAAAAAAAAAAAAAAAAAAAAAAAAAAAAAAAAAAAAAAAAAAAAAAAAAAAAAAAAAAAAAAAAGAAAACATAAGTATGCAAAAAAACTACAAAATCTCTAGTATCTAGAATCAGGAATTGAAAAACAACTGCAAGAAAGTTAAATTATTCATTTCATAAAACATATTATTTTCTTTAAATTACGAAAATTGCATATTATCAATACTACTTCAAAAATTGATTTATGGAGCTTGTGAATTTCAATTTTCATATTTAAACAATTCATAACTACATACTGGTAATTTTATAGAATTATTGATATGAATATCTCTACTAATTCATTTTCAAAATTTCAGAAAATCAACAATAGAGAGTATGCAATATCATCCATAAATCAATTTTTTTCCGAGGGTTCGGCCTAATAACGATCTATTTAGATTTTTTTTTTAATTTACAGAAGATTAATAAAATTGGAACACTACTTGGGGTAACACCTTTTTTTGCTTGAAAGAAACATAGACATATTAACTTAATGGCATTACTTAAACGTTCATTGTTTTCAGGGAATACTAAAAATTCTATATTTTATTATTAATGTGTAAGAATTTTTTTAGTCATAAAAAAGTGTCACAAACATGATTTACCATACAAGGTTGTTAAAAATTTTTTTTAGCCAGAAATGAGAGTTGTTAAAACCCAAGAGATCCTAAGTAAACTGAAATAGTAATGATATTTGTTGCTTTCTTGATGAATTTACTTCCACAACATGTAGTGGAAGTCACTTTTAATTTTAATCATTCAAAAATGCAATTATATAAAAATGTAATATAGTCCATTATTAAGCCGAATACTTCAAATAATTAAAATAATATTACGACAAGTGTCGATATAAATCTAACACTAAACACTGACTAACTATGATGAGAGGAAGGAACTTCTTTGAATAAATCATTGACATATAGAAGAGAAGAAAAATTAATAAAAATTAGCATGTTAAAAGTATAATTTAATTTAGTTAATATTGCTCTCATAGATTGACTTCACCAATAAAAACCAAATATAAATAATTAATTTGGTACGGAAAAAGTAACGACACATTGGTAATGATTTTCAATAAAAATCTCTCGTAACATTTACATCTAAAAAAAAGGAAAATAAATAAATACGATAATTTAAACACAGAATAAAACCCCTTATTTATTGACTTATTAACTCAAAAATGTCCTATGACATCACAAGAGAACAAAATTAATTTTAGTTGTAGAGAAGTTGTTTGAGATGTTCAGTAAAAAAATAAAAATAAATAAATGATACTTATTTTTATATTTTCCGACGTTTTGATCCAAAGTTCAGGCCTTCCTCAGGGCTAAGAAAAGTATATGAGAAACTATTAAAAATAAATAATAATATTAATAAAAGGCTTAGCAAACCCGAAGGTTCGATGCCGACACCACCAATCACTTATTACACACCTCCCTCCACCGTTCGCAGTCCAAACCCAGTCCCTTCAGACCGGCTTTAATGCAATCTTCCCACCTTCGCTTCAGTCTACCCCTTGGACGCTTACTATTCGGCACAGCAAATATTAACCTTTTAGGAATTCTCTTGTTACTGAGCCCAACAACTTTACAAGCCCATTTGATTCGCCGCGATGAAATTACCTCAATTATATTACCCGGATACAGTTCACGCAATTCGGCGTTGTGTAACCGTCTGAACTCTCCGGTTAGCTCATCCTTCTTCGGTCCGAATATTCTACGCAATACTTTATTTTCAAAAACCTTAAGACGCTGCTCATCCCTTAATGTAAGCGGCCAAGTTTCGCATCCATAAAGAACTGTAGGCAAGATAATTGTTTTATAGATTCTAATTTTCAAGTTCCGGGACAAGAGGCGCGAACTAAGTAGTTACATTACAGTTATTAATTTTTTTCATATGTTCGTTACATTATTATTATTATTATTATTATTATTTTTTATTTTTTTATTTTTTTTAAATAAATAATAATAATAATAATGTAACGAACATATGAAAAAAATTAATAACTGTAATAATTTGTGAAACAGAGAAAAGGAATATGAAGTTATATAAAGAAAATAATATATTTACATAGAAGAATTAGAAACTGTAAAATCTATCAAAACATACTGACTAAAAGAGAAATAAAAAGATAAAATTATTAAAACAAGAGTTTAATTTTTTTTTTGTAATTAAAATTTTATTATTTTTTTTTTACTTAACACCCCAACCAACTTCTCTTCATTTATTCATTACAGTAAACCATCAATCCACTATTAAACATTAATTTTAACACAAATCCCAGACTTATAAAATTCCACTCTTTCTTCTGTAATAGAAAATTTTATATCCAAATAAATTATTCTACCTCCAGTGTACCAGTGATAGTTTCACACAAGTATCTTGTCAATCCTTGACTCTTTTTAATATGTCCTATATATGATTTTCCAAGCCATCTGCAAGTAATGAGGTATCTTTATGCTGACGACATAGACTTGATACAATAGTAAATCGGTTACAAGCAAAATTAAAGTCAATAAGTATTGCCAAAGCTGGATATTAAAAATAAAACCCAAGAAAGTATGAAGCATATTCTTTACACAGTACAGGCCTCATATAAGCCAAAAAATGTATTTACGGTGTAATGACAATAATTTATTCAAAGAAATTAATAAAGGTCAATTAAGTATAAAGAAGTTATTAATTGATTTTGACACAACTACATCACAACAAAAAGACAAATAATATTCACTTAAACTTAAAGCAATATAAAATTGCATACATTCATAGCACATGCATTTACTTACTAAAGAATTAAACAGCAATCAAATATAACAAAGCAAGCAATAAAATATATATACATTGAGAATCCAATACCATATCATGCTAGGAAGAAAAAAAAAGGTGGAATAAAATGCTTTAAGCTACATGGATCAGTAGGTTCCACAAGTTCAACAAAATATATTAAATTAAAAGTCAAAACTACAGACTAAATAATACAAAGACTTACATCATAATGGTTTTTCTGCTTCCGCCTCGAACTCTTTAAAATGATACAACCATATAAATTAAAAAATTAATAAATGAAATTATTTGTATTAAGTATTTCCAGATAAAACTAACTTTCTGAGGTAAATAAATCAAAATATATTCAGATATTATACTTTGTTTGAATAAAAGTACATACATGTTTTCTAGTGTGCTCCATACCAGGCTGATTGCAGACCTGTACCAAATGGTCGAGCTGATAGAGCAGTTTCTTACTTGTGCTATGAACCTGAGAATAATCCCAACACCATTTGTTAGTTATGTGCAACGTGTATTTGTTAAATTAAACAAAAAACCTCAAGACAAAGGGCAGAGAAATTTTCTCATTTGAAGGAAAAACATTATTTACAGTAACATCCCAACATATATACAACCTAAAACCAATATTTTATCAAACAAAACAGATATTATATTTCTATGCTCTTTGTAGGTTTGAAAAAAATACAAATTTTAACATAATTTATAAAAATGTGCGTATTATAGGAGAATTGAAAGCCTTCAAACATTGTTAGAAAAAGAAGTTATGAAGATAAGTCTCAAAGAACAAAGAAAGAGTTTCATGAACTTAGAAGAGAAAACTAGCCAGCTCAATATGTGTATCGTACAGATAGATATCACCATTTTCTCCTCCCACAATCTACAGAAAGACCAATACCATTTGTACCCAACACGATCTGCAGGCAATGCAGAAAATCAAAATATACAACCGTGTTGATGATGGTGATGTTGGTGTAGTGTATTCGTGGGGGGCGACTTGGTGGTGGGGGGAAGTTTAGACAGACCTGGACGAGAAGGTCCAAACCATTGAGAAGGGACTGGTACGCATTGTACACCTAAATAGTAATAACAATGATTCTTACTTTAATCATTAGGTATACATAGATCAAACTTGAATTAAAAAAATACAATCCTGGACAAAATAAATATTTTAAAATATCAATAAGATTTAAAAAAAAAAATTATCATGAATAATAACTAAATTTAAATATCTTTCATAAATTTTAACTCATTTTATTTTAATTATATCTTTATTTTAGTTCGCTAGGGTTATATGATCATAATGTGCAGCAAAAAATCCTCCTACAAACAAATTTAAAATATTTTAACAACAAACTTTATTTTACTATAAAATATGATTTCAAGAACAGATCGATAACAATTATAATAAAAAAATCTTACCTCGGTATAGGCTTGGCACATGGACTCGTAATGATTTTGGTGTTGATGAATTGCTGATTCTAAGAGCATTATCTCACTAGGAATGCTCATGTTTTCGCAAGCCTGGTTCCATGTTCCAACATTTTCCACATACTAAAAAAATATTAGTGATAAAAAAAAAATAATAAGAAATGGAACATGAGAACCAAAGTTTCCAACAAAATAAATTTTGAATATAAACCACTCAAGTTGCTGACTATAGATGTCATTTTAACTTCAATCCTTTTGCTTAAAATAGTTTTTAACATGAATAAGTATTCTTAAAACTAGATAATAGTAATACACAAAAATAAACAATTTCTACCTTTTATATGATCATTTAAAATAAAATAACTAAACAGTACATCACAGTATAAATAATATCTAATTGCAAAACTAGCTAAATGAAGAAGGAATAGGGACTGGTCAGGGCAAAATTGAAGGGACCACCCAACATGAGCAATGTAGGACTTCAATGGAAGTCTTCGGCCCAAAAAAAACAAAAATAATTGATAATGAAAATGGCAAAAAGAAAACTGAGAAGAAAAATTGATAGGTACAAAATTTGAGAAAGTAAAAATCTAGAATAAGAGACAGCTAAAACTAACATTTACTCTTCTCCAAGTTGTTTACAACTGTACGCATCGAACAGCTGAGACCACTTACTGAAAATGAAAAATCTTGTAGCAGTTTTTCCCAAGAGGCTAAACTTGTGATCACATTAAAGAAGTATCACATAAAAAGCCTGAGACAAAAAAAGCAGAAAGCTTTAATAGATATAGCATTGCAGCTTATCCTGTAGATATATCTTAAAGAAAAGAAATTATAACTCTTGAAGATATTGCGAGGTTCAAAGCCATAAAAACAAATTTTCCTGATATATTCCCCTATGGAGCAAGAGATGATTTAAGTTCAGTAGTATTTAAAGTATTTACAAATCCAAGAAAATTTAACAGATTGGCTAAAGAACCAATTTTTTATTAAAGAATAAAAATAAAAGAAATTGCATGAGATAAAAAAAGCATATAAAGAGAATCATGTAATGTATACCTTGCCATAAAATCAGGTAAGCAGAGATAAGAAGCTGTGAAATAATATTCTCAAAATTTAACAATAACAAAGAAGAACCACAAAATCAAAGACTTACTCATAGGGGTACAGACCCCTTTTTATCAAATTATTAATATCCAGCTGAAACTTTGTGAATAGCTTTATCTCATCGTAACCTGCAAATATCTTATTTAAGAAAATTCTCTGAATTGGTATGTTTTCAATGTGGAGGTAGGCAAACTTTGTCTATTTAATTAGGTACTAAAAACTCGTAAATACCCATTTACTTTACACTTGAATTGTACGATAACTTGAGCAAATAGTCGAGAAAAAAGGTGGCCTTCAAAAATATTGAGCCGTTTGGCATGACCTACAACCCCAAATTGAAAAAATAAAACATTATATAGACCAAACGGATCAATATTTTTGTAGGCTACCTTTTTTATCAAGTTTGGTATCAAATTATATTATGATCCAAGTGGAAAACAAATGGGTATTTAAGAGTTTTGAGTACCTAATTAAATAGACAACGTTCGCCCACCCTCCAGATTGAAAACGCCCCAATTCCAAGAATTTTGTAAATAAAATATTTGTAGATTATGATGAGATGAAGCTATCCATAAAGTTTCAGGCTGATGTTAATAATTTGATAAAAAGGGGTCTATAACCTCGGTATGATCTATCAGTACAATTCTTAGTAGACAAATAGTAGTTGAGATGACTTGGGAACATCAGGATAATGGTGGAATCAATATTGTTGCCAAACTAACATACGGAAACTCACATATACCCATAAGAAAGAGTCAGATATATTTGCCAGAATTGAACAAAGAAGATTTCCTCAAGATATAGAATACATACAAGATAAGGATACATAGATGTAGAACACCTCTGTAAAGATAACTTATTACTTATGCATGTCATAAGTTGTGATGTAGACTATTAACAACAAATAAACCTTTATTAATCTTCATACAGAATGTTACTTTATGTTTCAAATTCAATTATAACCCATTTTGTAGTAACAATTTAAGTAATATACAGACAAAATAGGACTTGCTCTGACCATCCTTAGGCCAAAAATATCATTAATTGAGGATTCAATAACAATTTCCATCAAGAAATATCTATAAGATGCATTAGTATCATTAGCTAGCCAAAGCAGTGACTTTCATCATCTGTAAAGCTTACTAAATTGATTACATCATAAGAATTCAATTCACCAATTTTTATCAATTCCATCATTTACACAAAATAATTTAAATAATTATTGAATATTTACCTGCTCAGCTTTATGATGAAATAAGACTGACAAAGCTAGCACAGCAGTTCGCTCATCTAACCCAGCAGCAAACTCTTTCCAAGCTCTGTCGAGGCGATTTGCAACACTTCTGATATGAGAACTGGCATAGTGACCACTCTCCATCATCCGTGTAGCCACAGCTAGGATTCGATTGATGTTCACATAAACATTCTGAAAAACAAGGCAAAATGGAATGTTAAAACATAAATATTTCCCACTAATTAGAATTTTGGAGGAGGTATTATTGACCATAAAATGGATAGTAGGAAAAGTTGGTTGGGGAATCCAGTCATAGAAAAAAAAACATTCAAAACAGAAATCTTATTTTATTGTGTGCTAACGTTTCAGCGAAAGTTCAGGGCAACAAGTACAAAATTCTCACAGCAAGTCAATATGACTTATTTGTGAGTTTGATTTCATCTATTACAGAAAACACTGATCAACTTTTCTAATTAATTAGCATTTTCTTTAAAATATTACATATGTTTCAAGAATATAGAAATTTAGAATTATAAATATGGATCTTCCCTTAACAGAGCCGCTCACTGTTATATGGAAAAACCATTGCTGATATTATTAAAAATACAAAGAAATATTGTTTAAATTTATTTAACACAACCTCCTAATTTCCAGGATACTATTATTATTTTCTCAAATTACAATAATTTAAAAATCTATGTGATTCATTAATAATTTTATATGTGTTTCTTGTAGCATTTTCAATTCTATTAGTATAAAGTGTTCTGATCTCGTTCTGATCAAGGCAGTGTCTTGGGTCCAACACTTTTCAATATTTACTGTTCAGACATCCCACAACAATCTGAAACACTGTTGGCTACATTTGCTGATGACTCAGCAATATTAACGTCTAACAAGGATGCAGCTAAGGCTTCTCAGGTTCTTCAAGAACACCTAGACGAGATAGCTTGTTGGGCTAAAAGGTGGAGAATAAAAATGAACGAGTCTAAGAGCCAATTTGTTTCATTTACACTTAAACATGACTCTTGTCCTCCAGTGTTCTTTAATAATATCGCTCTACCACCTTCAAAATGTACGATATGTGGGTCTCCACTTGGACAAACAACTGACATGGACATACCACATAAAACAAAAAAGAAGAGAACTTAATCAGCGATACCGACTTCTTTCTATGCTACTTGACAGACATTCTAAATTATCTGTGACTAATAAACTAACTATTTACAAAGTCCTCATTAAACCACTTTGGACATATGGGATCAAACTATGGGGAACAGCAAAGAAATCAAATATAAAAATCATCCAGTCATTTCAGTCAAAAGTCCTTCAGAAAATTGTAGACGCACCCTTTTATATTTCAAACCTCACGTTACACACTGACCTTAACATTCCCTTCATCACGGCAACTGCCACTGACTGCTTTAATAATTTTCATGACAGACTGACTCTAAATTCCAATCCACTTACTCAAGCTCTATCTACTGCCACAAATCCATATAATCCGCCCAAAAGACTGCTGAGGCGCTGGCCAAGAGACTAATTGCATTGAGCTACTTGCTGCATTATCTTTTTTTTATGTGTGTTATTATGTTATTATGAATGTGTTATTTTACTACTGTTTTTTTTTTTTTTATATATATTTTAGGGAGGAGAATCTATAGTCCCCAACCAGAATGAAAAGTCTGCGCTGACAGATAAAATACTTGTTTTACAACTTTACATTTGCTTCTCCTATAATCATTTAATTAAGTTTTAAAATACTTTATCCTATTCCCCTTTCAGTTGATCCATCTATTTACCAGTAATTCATGAACGTCATAGTTTGAAGGATGTGTTTATCAACAAGATTTTGCAGCAGCCTGGCTGAAATGTTATCATTGATATTCTTAAAACATAGATAAATATGTTGGACAATATTTAAAGAACCTATGTACATATATAATATTTAAAATAAAGCAGAACCTCAATACTCGGGATAAATGATAGACCAAGCAAAGCTGTAGTCTGAACGGAATCATACTGCCTCTGCCTCTCTCCTTCTAATTTATCTATAGACTGATTTAAGTTCTTACATGGGATCTTGTATTTGACTTCCATTTGGCTAATGCAGCCTTCCTCTTCTCAAAAAGAAACATTTTTTTTTTCAAATTGGCGCGAGAAATTTTATAATAAATACTTATTTAATTATATGGTGTTGCTTGAAAACAAATTGTTTTGGTGACAAAGTTATTCGACAAACCAGATGACCAACCATCAATAAACCTTTTGGATTATCAAGGTCATTCTGTATCCATAGTTTGTTCACAATGAATTAATACTTTCTTTTACACAGATGATTCAGATGGTAATATTTATGACCAAAATATTCTAAAAAATAATAAGACTGTGGGTAAAATGATTCAAAAGAAGAGGACAATAACCAAAAAATATTTATCAACCAAATTATTTTAAAACTCACCATTGAGCTCATCGTAAAATGATTATGTTCTTCTTGTAGTTCTTTTGCTAGGGTGTAAGAATGGCCAATTTCAACATAGTTCATCAGAAAAACGTCACGGTTATGACATATCCATTCAAACATCTGCAAAAAAAAATTATGAAACTATTAGTAAAATGACAATATAGAATAAACAGAACTGATTAGAATAAATAAATAACTTTTGAAAATGATATGGTTAAATTAGTTACATACAAAAATACACCTGGATTTCAGATATAGCACTTTATTAAATAGAAATTGAAACTATTTGAATATTAAAACAAAAATTAAAGTAAGAATATTGAATATTGAAATAATTAATTGAATAATTAATAAGATTGATTCTAAATAGGCTCAATCTCTCATGAGTGTAATTGGATTTTAAATTAAGAAAACTGAGTAAAATTTGGTTCAATATCCTCAGCTGCTAATAATAAGTGATTTCTGCAAGGTTTCTATGATTTGCATCCAAAAATGGACAGAAGAGGGATCATTAACAAACATAGGGATACAAAAACTAGAAAAGAGAAACACCCCCTTTACAAGCTTGTGTTTGTCATGGTTTAGGTAATGTGTAAATGAGGCTTACTTTTGTTATAAAAAAAAACAAAGAATGAATAATATATTTTTCATGAGGCCAAAAGAATAATTTAAAGAATTATAGAAAAGTAGCCCATATATCTGAGAAAAGGGTTCTACCAAATATCTGAGCAATTGTATAAAATTAATTTCAGGAAAAAGATTACTTTAAGAAAAATAAATCCCCAGATTTAATTTAATTTTTTTAGAAGGAATGTTTTAAAATTAATAATTAATCATTAATGAGGGCATAAAAAATTCATACACAAGTCAAAAATACTAAATTAGAATTTTAGTATTTAATTAATTAATTTACGTACTTTCTCACAGTCTTGTTCAAAAAGGCGTAATTGAAAACATTGGTCGAGTTTGGCTTTTTTATGATGCCAAAGTTGAAGTAGATGATTCTGGGAGGCACGTATTGAGTCGAGATTGTGAAGTATTTGAGGTACAGAAGCCTGAAGATCAGGATTGGTCGTTGATGCTTCACTTTCTCTTCCTGAGTATCCTGAATCATAACCACTACTTGTATCACCCGATAACCTGAAAGAAGCATATAATAATTTTAAAAAAATATATCATGATATTAATCATAATGGTAATACGTATATTTTTATTTATACAGGATAAATTAAAAGAAGAGAAGCTACACCTACTATAAAGAATAGGAAGCATGACTGATATAATAAACTAAAAATATAAAATATCTTTACAACATCAACAATGAGATACTAGCAATTTTAACTCTTCAATTAGGAGTACTACGTAAAATTTTATTTTTAATTGCTCATTCTATATTTTAAAAAGTATAAACTTCTTGATTTGGCAAAGAGAATAATTTAATCCATGGAGTATTTTCAATCAACACCAATATTATTACATGCTAAAATCAATGAAGTGAGATTCCAAGACAATATACAAGATCATAGATACAATTATCATGTATTATTCTCATAATTATGAATGAACAATAAAGTTAATTTTAAAATTTGATAAAATAATTGAAAAAGTAACGGAATTCCAATAAAAATTTCTGAACAATACTGTTGATGGATTAATGCTGTCAATATATCTTTTATGTTGGTATAATTTAATTTGTGAATAAATACAATTAAAACAACAAAAGAGAACAAGTTAATTATTATCGATTGCAATATTTTAAAAATAAACACGTTAATTCTGAACATTTTAATTCTCCCTCTGGAAGCAACATCACATATTGAATTGAATTGAAAGGGCTGTTTTCCTTGTTCATCGCGGCCTCCAGTTTTTAAATGCCAAGCCATCAAACAACACCAATTATTTGAAACAATATCTATTTTTTTTTTATTTAATCTAAAATACAGCAGAAGTTATATTTTAAAATGAAAATTTAGATAAAGCAGTTTATAAGGTAAATATGCATATAATATTAAACATTTATTTTATTTTTTTGTTGCCTCTACATTGTAGGGTACTGAACATTTAGTTAATTATTAAAACAAACCTTTGAAGCAATCGTTGTCCAGTGAGATCTAGTTCTTCTACAGGAGCTTTGAGTATCCTTTTCTTAATTTCAGCATGAAGATCTAAACCATGTTTTGCTGAAGGGACATCTTCCCCGAAATCAGATCTACTCAGATCTTCCTGCAGATCATCTAATCTATCTAAGAGGTCAGTTGCCTGCCACAAGAAGTCTTCCACAGCCTAATAAAATAGTTTAGTCTCATATGATTACATTTCATGAAAGTTTCTTTAAAATAAAGAAATATATAATATAGAAAGTCAATTTGTAAGGAAAAATTCACCACTGATTAGTGGAGGACATTGTATAAAAAAATGATTAAAGCATTATTCTCTAAAGCTTGACAAATTGGTAATCCAATGGGGAAATAAAGGAAATCAATGTGATAAAAAAGAACACATACCAGTCTCATATCAATCCATTGTGCGTGATCGTAGTGAAGTGAGCCCTCCAGGTCAGAGGTCAATTGAGAGGAGTCGACCACCTTGGACAAGCCTTCTGTGCTGATCATGTTTACCTTAAAACAAAACATATTACTTAGCATACTAATTAAAATACATTTTTTAAAAATATTTTCTCAAACAAATATATTAACAGAATTATTTATCATTGTTTTGATGAAATACAACAATACCTACAAATATAACACCCACTGACAAGAACACCTTCAAAATTATAATCTTCGTCAGTAATATAAATAATTTAATTTTAAGCAATAGCTTATTTATATTTTTTATTTTATTATAAATTTCATTATTAGTGAAAAAACAAAATGATAATATGCTAACCCCAACAATAGAATCTGCGTAGAATGAAACTCATTCCCAAGATAAGACCAATTCAAATACCTTGAGTCCACAAAAACCTCAATAAATGACCAATGGTTAGAAATAGACCAACGAATATAACAAGTCCAATCAGAGCTTACTTACCTCATTCAAAGGTATTGAAATTACAAAAAAATCTCAAATTAAGTGTGTATAAAACTATGGTAAAGCCAGTTCTGGTTGATCCAAAATGTTCAAGTAAATAAATACAAATTCGGTATTACTATTACTTTATTACCTTCCAATGAATATCTATTGATAAATTGAGCAGAAACATAGTTCAGTATGCTCCATTATTCAAGACTTTCGACTATTGTAGAAATTATATAATAACAACTAACCTAAATTTTGATTTTTATAAAATATCACAAAATCTTTTAACGTTACCACAATGGAAAATTTAAAACTATATAATGATGAATAATGGTTGAAAATTATTTTATAGCATTAAAAAAATAAATAATGAGGTATTAATTCTATTTACAATACAAATTGTTTTCGGGTTAACTATAAATAATAAACAGTTTTAGAAGTTAGTTTATTATTTGCCAAAATAACCTTTCATCTCCAGTAGAGATACCATGAAAAGTGTTATTACAAAAATCCTATGAAATATTTGAGCACGAAATCCTTCTAAAATGTCAACTTTGCAAGACATGAATCCCAACCAGCATTTATTACTTCCTTCAGTATTGTATAAAGAAAATTCAACTGCGGTTACCACTTCCAATCCCAGAGATAGATCATCCCTTTTATACATGGCCTCACTATTATTTAATAGTATAGGAGTGAAAACAAAAATAAATAGTAAATAAGTACACAAATTAGGTCCAAATAAATGCAATAGTATGTAATTTCTTAATTATCATCTGCAATAATCCTTATTTCGCATGATTTGTATTCATGAAGCAAAATGTCCACAATTTAAATTGAGAGTCTTTGATCAACAGTTTGCTTTAGTTAATTTTATCAACAAAATTAATTAAGGCAAAATAGTAAGATTAAAATTAATGTTAATATAGTAGGGTTAATTAATTTTTTGTGTTGTAATTGTAATCTGTGATTTGAGGTTTATTAAAATATGATAGGAATATATGATGTTAAAAATAATTTATCAGTGAATAAATAACATTGAAATAATAATAAATAATATATAAAAGAAAAAAAATTAATGATTTCAGTAGTTAATTGCAACTTCAAACGAAAAAATCTTAACGAATTGGAATGAAATTTACAATTTATTAAAAATTTCTTTATAAGAATATTTCTGTTTATACCATACAATTTTCATTTATTTGAATTCATTATTTACAAACATAAATTTCTTTTTATTGTTGCAAAATAAAAATAAGTTGAATCCTGGCTGATATTTAACTTAAAAAATAAGGGTTAAAAATTATAAAACTTCAATAATTCTAAGAACATTTAAATATTTCTTGGAATGATCATAAATTATAACGTTGTAAACACCTATTATGTTTTTTTTTTGGTTTTTTTATAATTACAAGAAATTTTGTGTTAATGATAAAAATTCCCAAAGTCAGACTGAATCTCTTTAGAATATGCTTAAAAACTTCTAATGTAGGAAGTTACTCTTCAGGGAGAAGTGACAAAATAAAATCATTTAATAATAAAAAAAACAGTAATAACCTAAATAACAAATAATATATAACGCACTTTAAATACTATATAGATTAAACTAGCTGCTTCCTTTGAGAAATGCAAAAAAAAAACTGAACTGGATAGGTAGACCATTCTGAATGATCTTTCATCTTGAATTGCACTCTCAGAACAAAAGGTATTAATTGAATTTTAAATACGCTATGTTTCCCTTGATGGATTTTATTTCTTATTATTTTTTTTTAATTTATTGTCTATGGATTTTGATAACTATTATTTAAGAAAAATTACGTTGAGTTAAATTATCGGCCATGCTATAGTAATTGAATGAATATCCGCTAGGTAGCACCACATATACTTCATGTTTATGTGAGAAGGTGCGTTTAGATACTGTACAAACTATGTGACAAAGAAATATATAAATTGTTATTTTATTATGCCAATATTTTTCTTTCTTATTTTGAATATTTCAAATCTGATGTCAGTATCAAGAGAAATAAAATAAATAGTTTAGTTTAGCAATAATGTCGTTAGTTAAATTAGACAATTGTGTTTCCCATAGTTTCTAAAGATACCGCATTCATAAACCAAATTTTATTATAAAAAGATCTGTATTTACGAACAATTGCAAACACGGAAATAATTTATCAAAAAAGTCAATTTGTAAATAATGAATATTGTTATTTCTGTTTACTGTGATCTTATGGTTTGTAAAAATATATCAATAGATCAGTATTTTATTATCAGCGTTCCATGTTTGCACTATTATGATTTGATATTTTCATTCAGAGGTGCCCAGGTTTCAAAATTTTTGAGGGGGACCTATTTTGACGGGTTTTTGAATTTTTGAAGGGGACGAATTTTCGGACTAAGGGACAAGGGGAAACAGATCAGACCGTAGCAAGTGTAATTGTATATGATCCACGATTTTTATGATTCTACCTCAGCTTCTTCTGTTTTTAAGGAAAGGTGAGCAATTGGGATGAGGGTGGCAGAGGTTGATAGATGAGTATGGCGGGAGACAATTTTTGAATTCGTAATATAATAGTTGTACAAAAAAGAACAATAAAACAGAAGATGCAGTACATAGGAAAATATTTTTTGCTAAGAGAAGTGATAATAATAAGACAAAATAAGCTTTTAATCTCTTTTTAATTGACATTTTCTTCTTTTTGAATGTTTATACGTGGTAAAATTAGTTTTAAAATACTGTCTTTAATCATTGATTGGACTAAGCTAAACTGCAGTGTTGACAATAATTATGCTTATAACATAACTTTTTTTTCCATCATCATATATCCAATATGCCCGTCAACAAACAGTTGACAATCGGCAGATTATCTGATGAATATAATGGAAATGATAAGTCTTGCGTGAGGAAGTATAGCTCCCAAAAGTATCTCTTCTCTAGCTTGAGTTATTTATCAAGGTTTGTTAAGGAAGATCTCTCCTCCTATTAATGAGCATGATACTTGAAGCTATATCTCTAATAAGTATGGAATCGTTGGTAAAGACTACTTATGTGCTCGTCAAAAACGAAAATTTTGACGCAAAGCCAAAATACTGCGTTAAAAGTAAAATTACAGACTGGTCCGCTTATAGATTATATTCCACTTTTAGCACAAAGAAAATTACAGCCATCAGAGTTCATTACAACCGGGGAATGTCGAGGGAATAACCAATCCGAAAAGCTCTCTCATCAAGGGAAATAATACTCAGACAGTACTGAGTTTTATATTGGCCCCAATTAACGGCCAATTATATCTGTCAGCGAAACACTGAAGAGGAGCGATGACAACTCTTTCAATGGCCATTTAGAAGGCTGCCCAACATTTTAATTCCGCCGCATTTATCTATTCATTTTGTCCTCTCTCGCTTCCACGGGAATAATATTATATTTTATTTAATTGAATTGATTTGATAGAGTTTATACATTTTTATACCAAAAAGAAACAATAAAAGCAAATAGAAGCTTTTAATTCAGTATTCGTAAAAGTGCCTAACATGATTTTCATAACTGTGATGAAAAAATAACAATAAAATAACACAACATAAAAATAATTGCAAAAATGTAAATATAATAACTTTTTCTCAACACAGTATAACAAATAACCACAATTTTGATTTTGAATATATATATATATATATATATATATATACTGTATTGGGTTCAGTACTTTATTAGCTCTGTTTCAAAACTAATGGTTTTGCAAGGAAGTGATAGGGCCAGGATCACGCTCATTAAAATGATACAGAGTTGTTTGTTGAGAAGACGTTTGATTATATATAATGGTTATGTATTAGTGTGTTAAAATATCTTATGTTTTTTATATGAATAGAAATATTCTTAATTAAATATTAAAATAATTGTATTGTTACCAATAACAGCATGCCTTGTCTTCGAAGATGGGGAAGATGATTATAAAAACCCAAGATTTTTAAATCATTTAGGCCCACTTCAATTAGGGTTTTAATTGCTATTTTGATCTAAACATACATCATAAAGAGAAAAAAGAACGTCTGGTATTCTTAAAAAAAAGGGTTGTTTCAAGTACCAGCGTTCACAACTTGTTAACACCGAAGGTTAAAATCCGAGTGTAATAAGAATGAAATATTTAAAGCTAAACCGGTAATTATTTTCAATCTAGCAAAACCATAAATAAAATGTTTTCATGTAATGCTTTATATCCTGGAGGATAAAAAAACAACACAAAATTATCATTCCTTAGGCAGCACCTGACGGAATTCCGAATGTACTTTCCTCGTTCACAAACCGTTATTGCCGACGATCAATACTATCCGTGTATTCAATTACTAACTAACAAACAATAGCTAGCAGGAGTATTATTTAGGAAAACATAGGATTCAAGATCACGCAGGATTACTCGATTAGGTAAAAACCTAAAATTCATCATTCTCGAAGCGAGATGATGATCGCATAAAAAAGAAAAGGAAATTTATGATAGAGACAGCTACTGATACGAAACATGAGTAATCATGAAATTTAATGTAAGTAATTGCATTAAAGTAAGGGCGAGACATTCAGATTTTGGAAAATAAAATA